TAACACCAATTCTTCTTGAACTATGCCAAAAAATCAAAGCAGAGGGCATTTTCTCAAACTCATTCTATGAGGCCAGCATCACCCAGATAATAAAAATCAGACAAAGACAACAAAAACAGAAAACTACAGGCCAATATCCTTGATGAACATAAATGCAAAATTTCTCAAAAAAAANAAAAAAAATATTATCAAACAGAATTCAATAAAACATCAAAAAGATTATACAGCATATTCAGGTGGTATTCATCTCAAGGATGGTTCGACACATGCAAATTGATAAATGTGGTAAACCACAACAACAAAATGAAAGACAAAAACCATATAATCATCTCAATAGACACAAAAAAAGCATCTGACAAAATTCAACATCCCTGCATGATAAAGACTCTCAACAAATTAGGTACAGAAAAAAAGTATCTCCATACAATAAAAGCCATGTAAGACAAATCCATAGCTAACATCCTAAATGGGAAAAAGCTGAAATATTTTCCTCTAAAAACAGGAACAAGACAGGGATGTCCACTTTCACCACTTCTATTTAACACAGTATTGAAAGTTCAAGCCTGAGCAATCAGACAAAAGAAAGAAAAAAAGGGCATACAAATTGGGAAATATGATGTTAAACTGTCCCTGCTTGCAGATGACATGATCTTATATAGAGAAAAATCTAAAGACTCCACCAAAAATCTATTAGAGCTGATAAACAATTTCTTTAAAGTTGCAGGATACAAAATCAATATACAAAAATTAGTAGCATTTCTATATACCAATAATAAACTAGCAGGAAAAGAAATCAAGAAAGCAAAACCATTAACAGTACCTACCTAAAAAATAAAATACCTAGGAATAAATTTAATCAAGGAGGTGAAAGATCTGTATAATGAAAACTACAAGTTACTGATGAAAGAAATTACAGAGGACACGAAAAATGGAAAGACATTCCATGTACATGGATTAGAAGAATTAATGTTATGAAAATGTCCATCCTACCCCGAATGATCTACAGATTCAATGAAATCCCCATCAAAATAGCAATGGCATTCTTCAAAGAAATAGGAAAAAAAAATCCTAACATTCATATGGAACAATGAAAGACTCCAAATAGCAAAAGCAATCCTGAGCAAAAAGTACAAAGCTGAAGACATTAAACTACCTGACTTCAAAACATACTACAAAGCTATCATAACCAAAACAGCACGGTACCAGCATAAAAACAGATGCAAAGACCAATGGAACAGAATACAGAGCCCAGAAATAAATCCACATATCTACAGCCAACAGATCTTGACAAAGGTGCCAAGAACATACATTGTCTTCAAAATAATGGTGCTGGGAAAACTGGATATCTATCTGTAGAAGAATGAATCTAGATCCCTATCTCTCACCATATACCAAAATCAACTTGAAATGGATTAAAGTCTTTTGTATATAAGACCTGAAACTTCAAAGCTCCTAGAAGAAAACATAGGGGAAACACTTTAGGATGGAGGACTGGGGAAAGATTTTATGAATAAGACCTCAAAAGCACAGGCAACAGAAGAAAAAATAAACAAATGGGATTATATCAGAATAAAAAGCTTCTGCACAGCAAAGGAAAAAATCAACAGAGCAAAAAGACAACCTACAGAATGGGTGAAAATATTTTCAAACTATACATCCAACAATGGATTAATATCCAGAATATACAAGGAACTCAAACAATTCAATAGAAAAAAAAA